CTTTCCACACATCTCTCTTTATGTGTTTGGCTTGAGAGGTCCTCCAAATAGATTCTCTCTAACCAACTCTTGACAAATTAGCATGTTTATTGCCTAAAGCCAATCCTCTGATACGCACTCGCTTTATTCTTTCAGTCAATTCTCTCCAAGTTTATGCATCTCGGTGTTTATTTCTCTTTTTATCAATAAAGTATGTCATATTGGCTGAGTTTCTTTCAATTGAGTAAATATGCTCAGTATTTATGAGAGGAAATATAAACTGTAATTTGATAAATTGTGATTTATTGAATTTGCCTGGTCCTTGTATAATAATGTTGTAGATGCCTGCAAAGCGGTGACACTTCCTTAAGTATCTTTATCAATTTTCATTTGTGTACAATAATTGGGCTGCATTGATCCGAGACAGTTAACATAGCTAAGTGTTTTCCAATGTAAACCCCTCACTTTGTCGCATCCTGCTGCATAAAGTGCTATTTACAGCTGTGAGCTTTGACAATGTAGCCTGAGGAGAAAGTTTTCTTTCACTGTGCATTTTAATCACGGCAATAAAATCTGTTAAAGTGAAAATCAATTAATGCTTCTATTCTTGGTAAAAGAAACAAAATGCATTTTATATATATATATACATATATAACTGATAATTTGTTTGTAATCCTTCAATTTTTCAATACTGTACCGACATCTTTGCACTTTTCAAGTCCCTGGGCTCTCTGAAAAGAGTCCATTATAAAAATTCATTGTAAAAGGGGCAGAAAAGCTCTTTAAATAAAACTATATTTTTTACTATATTTCAATTCTTATCAATCAATATTTGATTTAAATATATAATTTATAATTTAAGTATATAATTTAAGCTGTTTATCACTGAAAATCTGAAATGATGCTTTGATGCATCATTTTTAGATCAAAACAGGGAAGATTATCATTTAATGATGACTTAAGTTTCAGTCTGTTCCTCTCATAAAGTTCTCATACAACTATTAAAGATGAGATATAACACACAAGTTGTAATATTTGTGTTTTAAATGGTAAAGTCTTTGTAAAAAATAAACACACTTAATTGTATTGAAAGTCTCACTGACAAGCTTTTTTTCATTTCTACACTAAAATCAGTAATATTTATTTCATTTACAACTTTTTTTTTTACAACGTATTGAAACTTGTATGCCATGTATTTAAATGTATTTGTAATTACACATTTTAATCAAGTACTTTACATTGCATTAATATGTTAATCAAATAAGTTCACTTCTTTAGAACACAACAGAAGATTATTTTTAAGTAAATTTTTTAATTTGACATTAATGCAAAGTACATTTTTTAAATGTGTGTTAAAGGGTTAGTTCACCCCAAAATTAATATTCTGTCATTAATTACTCAACCTCATGTCGTTCTAAACCCGTAAGACCTCCGTTCATCTTCGGAACACAAATTAAGATATTTTTGATGGAATCTGAGAGCTCTCTGACCCTCTCATAGACAGCAACGCAACTGAAATGTTCCCAGACAGAAACGTAGTAAGGACATCGATAAAACAGTCCATGTGACATAAGTGGCTCAACTTCAGTTTTGCGAAGCTACGAGAATACTTTTTATGTGCAAAGAAAACAAAAATTACATAATTTATTTAACAATTCTTCTCCCCCGAGTTACGTCTTCTGCCATTTTGGAGAGTACCCAAGAACGTAATCAGCGTTGTTTACGTTAGGAGGGGAAAGCACGCGCATAAACGTAATCGGCGTAATCAGCGTTGTTTACACTTAGGGTAAAGCGTGCGTATTCGTTGTGATACTCTCCAAAATGGCGGAAGACGATCTAGTGTAGAAATGAAAAAAAGCTTGTCAGTATATAGATATTCAGAATATAAATATGAAATTACATATAAAGTCCTACATTAGTCAGTCAAAAAAAGCACTCTAAAGTTCGAATAATTGCATTTAATATAAATTTAACATATAATACATTTTCATTTATTTGCAATTAACATGAAATTAAGTGCGAAAACATTCCATTTAGTTTGCACTGGTATATTGTTTTAAAGTAGCCTATATAATTTCTGTAGTAGGCTAAGTACTCTTTTTAAAAGTATGCTGAAGTGTACTTCTTTTTCACAAGAAAACATCTTCAACAATTCACCTTTTGTGTTCTACAGAAACAAAACAACAGCACACAGGTTTAGAACAGCATGACAAAACCTTCATTTTTTGGGGGTGAACTATCCCTTTAAATCTAAGCCCTGGAAGTTCCTCTAAAAACACCCAGTTATAGTATCAAAGTCTGTCACTCAAAATGACGGCTCACGTTGTCATATCTGGGTGCCTGGTGGTTGCGAGTGACTCTCATAACTAGCAAAACTATAGCACCATGCTTTTGTGATATCAGGCACAGCTGGACCGTCTCTCTCGCTGTCATATTTCTCAACTATACGCTTACAGTGTGCTATCTCTTGTGCCACCTTGCTGGCTCCACATGAAGAGAGACAGATAAAGAGGAAGGTGGGGAGCGAGGAACGTTGTGAATTTAATTTTATGGTTTATTAATAAAGACGTATCACTTTCTCTGTGCCCACACACCTCTGTTGAGTAGCTGCACCTCCCTCTTCTGCTATCTGGATCTCTCTTTATTAGGAAGACACAAAGCCCTGCTAGCATGGGATCCAAAGATAGACGTCTGTGTGACAAGCAGTCAGCTCTCATTCTGGAGTACGTTAGAAGCTGGTCATTAGCATATGCCGTATAATTGAATCAGCAAATTAGAAACCGCATTCACTGACATGCCTTCCAAAGTGCTTTCGATGGTTATCTTGTTATTTTGCAAATGATACATTGAAGGCTTGATTAGCCAAAATTAACAAGCAAACTACGTGGTCTACGAGGTTGCTTTTCATCAACAAACATGCATATACAATAGAAAATGAGAACAGCCGACATGGTATAATTAAATGAAGTCTAAAGGGAACTTAATATGTATTTAATCTTAATTATTAGTTGGCTCTCGAATGCTAGACGCCACAGTGGTACTGTCAAGTGTAAATGTGTGCGTATAACCACAATTATGTAGGACTGGTTATTGATTAGATGTACGAGAGAGCTGGCAGGCTTAAATAAATATGCAGGAGAACAATTCATATTTCTATAAATATTCCTAAAGCCTTCCTTCCTTCCTTTGTCTGACTTCATGGCTGTAAAAATTCACTATTAGGGCAGAAATGCAAATTTGATCAGAATACAAGATTCAAATCTTTCAAAATGTAAATGATTTTCTATTCCTAGAAACGGCAACTACAGGGTCCGATAAATACTGAAAAACTAATTTTTGTGTAAACAATAAGAGCTGTGTGGCCACATTGTTACTGAAACATATTGCTTATGCCAGATATAGGAATTTCTCTGGGTCACGGCTTACCTTTTGAAACTTGGCACTGATAAATGACCCTGTATTATTTTCCCATTCTTTTAAACTGCCTAGCTACACAAGATCAGGTTTGATGGTCCTTAAATTAGGAATTTGGTGGAAAACTGTAAACCACTGGAGGAAAACTGACATCGGTAGCGCTGGAAGGGTTGCAGATGTAAAGACCTTATACATTTCATTATTTCACATCACACTAAACCAAGCTTAAAGTTGCTATTTTTCTATGCATGTAAATGTAAACCCACAGTGTCTCAGGAACACGATGAAAATCTCTCGGTGTGGCGAGTCTCCTTTGGGGCCCTCACTGAGTTAATCCAACGTTGCCCCCAAGTGTTTATTGAAAGCAATGCCACCACGGGCCCAAACACTGGAGCTGTACGATAATTTATCACTACCTGCTCGCAGAGAATTGAGTGCAGGTGCCGCACACTCTGTTATTGCGTCACATTCAATTTGTGCCGAGCCGAGCGCATTAATGGAGTCACAAGGCTACAAAGACAATCCACTGTGAGCTCCATATTGCCACATTCAGAGCAGAGTAAATTTATAGGGTCTGATGCAGAAAATAAAAAAAAAATACAGAAATAAAGACTAAGTTCTAATATAGACTATATAGACTTGTCAAAAAATATTGCATTATCCACTAATTTTCTGATTGGACCTAATTATAAAGCAATTCAATTAGGCCTGTTGAATCAGGCCTATTTTGTATGCAATATCTTGTCAATAGCATGGAGAACAGCTTATGATGAATTTTTCATCATTAATACGTTTTAATACAAGTTAGAGTGTTTCAATAGCCTAATTGTCATTATTACATAGATTTTTTTTTTTTGCATTTGGCTCCCAAACTCTGGAATAGCCTTCCTGATAACGTTCGGGGTTCAGACACACTCTCTCTCTATTAAATTTTGCTACAAGTTTGATTGCAACATATAATCATTGCTGTTAATTGTGTTCAATTGGGAAGAAGTGATAGACCTATAATTATGTTTCAATGGCCATAATAAATATATAAAGTATTTTTTTAATATTAGCCTACTGGGGAAATTCCATATAGCCAACATAAAATGAGATGTTTAATATGACTTTAAACAAATATATTAGGCTATTAAATATCATACTGATAAATAGTAATTTACACTTTTTTCCGTTTTAATATTATTACTATTGGCTACTTCCTAATGCACCTTTTTATGTTTACGTTTTCTTAGTAGCCTACTAAGTAATTGAACATTTCTCTTGTTATTGTTTGTGGTAATATGCACAATATGCTTCAGCCAATATTTGTTGACAGTATTTGTATATTGTGTGTAGCCTACTGACAAGCGTAGGCCTATTTAGCAAAATAGTCAATGGAATATTTCAGGGATAAATATTATTATAGCCTAGTACATTTATCATATATTATTTATTATTTTCCTAATTTGTAATTATGTAGCAAATCACTCAGACGTTAGACAATAAAAATATTATAACGATACAAGAGCGATATAATATTATGTCCGTTTAACTTCTGACACACAGCCTACTGATGACGATAGGCTCGCATTTTGCTCGATTGCTCAGCGTTTCGTAGAACACAAATTGGAAACGCTGTCATTACGTTTGTCTCCTCCGGCTCTCTGTAGATCACCGACATATTGTTTGTGAGGAGCAAATTCTGGAAGACAAGGAGAGTGCTACGATTACAGCGTTGATATAACCAGTCATCAAATCGTATATCAGTAAAGAAAGCACGATGGGTAAGTATCCAACCTATACTGTTTTTTGACGCGTTAGTTCTGTTATTTGCGGTCTTTAGGGACCAAATCTGTAGATGAAAAGCCGAGAGAAGCTACATCATGTCAGTTGAAGCATGAGTGTAAAGGGCCAGTTAGCCTAGCACATTGCTCTACTCGACATATGTGTTTACCAGTGAGCCTCAGAACAGATATTTGAAGCTAAAACGCCTTTATAACAGACGCTTGTGAGATTTATTGGGTGTTGACTGAGGTGGAAGGAGGTTTTGAGTCTTTGCCGATGTAAACGCTTGGTCATGTTCAGCATGTTCAGTCAGAGATTGTGAAATCGTCTCATGTTAGAGTCTACACAGTGGATGAAGAGGAAATGCTCTGACATTACACGAACCTAGTGAACTGCCATTGTCTTCATAAACGATGTTTAGGTAGACACCTGACTGGATTTAGACAGACTAAACTTGGCTCCAATGTCAGTGAGTTCACCAGTCAGCTGTAACATGTGACCAACCCAGAGAGCTGGTAGTTTCTGTTTTAAATCCGTTTGCTCAAAGTTTACTAACGTTACGTTACATCGATTGTAACGTTAGTAGTTGGGCTGTTTCCTTTTGTAACCCATTGGTTATGTTTTCAGGAGCAATAAAACCTCACTCATGGTAAATGTTTGTTAAACATTACTTGGACCCTCAGCTTTGGAGAGTATGGCCTGTTTGAAGGGAGGAAGAGGTTGGGACAGGAACTATACAGACAGGACGGTCAGATAGGGTGTCAGAATCCGACTGCTGCTGACTTGGTTTTTCCTGTCTTATGGGCTACTATTTCAATGAATCATCACAGTGGAAATTAATGTGATATCTGACAGCTTTTCCATGACAGTTTAGAGGTTTTCACACACTGTGGCATTTCAGTTTGCAATTTGAGTATGGGTCAGTTTAGGCAGCAAATTTGGCTTTTCATCGCTTTCCATGGTGCAAATTTACTGAGAAGATCCGTTTCTTTTACACTCTGCTCAACGCTATGGATTTTTAAATTTTATTTAGGATTTTATTTTTGTAATTTTTGTTCCCAGACCAGCCAATGTTGTAGATTTTTATTTGCGGTTCCAAAATAATCACAGGCCCTGCCACACAAAAAAAGTTATTTTTGTTTGTTTTAAGGATGTTACAACACCAAAATTGTAGATAATAGTGAATTTCCTGAATCGAAATTTAAGTACCACAGCAAAAACGACTAGCTTTTCTAATATAAAGTTCAAACATTATATAAGACAAGTAAACAGTCAGCAATAAAATAAGAACAAATAATCAAATTACAAGTACAGATACATACAATGGTACATAATATAGCAATAGTATTCAGGTAAGAAATACTACAGAAATCGAATGTAAAAACACTGCATGGTACTGTGTAAATTATATTGATAGATCCTTATTAAAGCTGCAAAAGTTGTCTAGTTAAAGAGCAGTGAGTGATTTTGCAGGTTGAACTTTGGATAGTCTACACCCTGATCCCGTCTGCTGTTTGTCCCTAGTGCTCCGTCTTTAAGCCATAGCAAACACTCTTCTTTAAAATAGTTCTGCGACAGGAGCCCAGCCCACACTGCTATTTGTGAGGCCCATGTGATGGACAACTATGTAATGGAGCGCTTGAGTCGGGTAGAGCCACAGCTTGCTTGTCATCCCATCTAAATTTGTAGAACAGAGTCATTATGATGTTCTTTCTCTTCTTAAAGGAATAGTTCATCCAAAAATAAACATCCTACTCATCCTTAATTTGTTCCAGATCCTTATGACTGTCTTTCTTCCATGGAGAACTTAACCTAATGTAATGAAAGTGAACTGGGGCTGTCAAACTCTAGAATAACAATAAATAAGTTGTTCACTGAAAATCTTGACATCTGTCATTGCTTTACTTCGCATGTCCGATTTATGAATATATTTTTTTCCAGTTGATTTGGTCTGAATTTAATTTATGAATCTGATTGATCGAGTTCTCAAGTTTAGCTCATGGTCTTGATTTTGTGTCCTCTTGAAAGCTCCAATTCCCACTCCCCATTTATTTTAGTTACATGGAAAACGACAGCCAGCTACTCTACAATTCAGAAGTTGAGGGTTTGCTTTTTAGAATTTTTTTTTTTTGATTAAATTAATGAAATAGTTTTATTCGGTAAGGATTAAATTAAAGTAATCAAAAGTTACAGTAAATACTTTATAATGTGGCAAGATCATTTATTTCAGATAAATGATGTTTCTTAGAGAATCCTGAAAAAGAAAATGTATCACAGTTACCACAAAATGATGTCTTACACAAAAACTGTTTTTAACATTGATAATAATACAGTAAATGTTTCATAAAACAGCATGGTACAATGATTTCTGAAGGATCATATGACACTGAAAACTGGAGTAATTAAGGTAAAAATTCAGCTTTGCATCACATAAATAAAGTTTAAAATATATAAAAATAGAAAGCAGTTATTTTAAATTGTAGTAATTTCACAATAAGACTGGAGTAATTGTGGTGAAAATTCAGTTTTGCATCACAGGAATACATTTTAAAATGTATAAAAATATAAAGCAGTTATTTTAAATTGTAATAATTTAACAATATTAATAATTGTACTTATTTTTGATCAGATGAATGCAGCTTTGGTGAGCATAAGACTTATTTTCAAAAACATTAATAAATCTTAACAACCTCAATCTTTTGAGTGTATATTATTTAAAAGTCCTTCCCATATGGGTTTGAAACAACAGTAAATGGTGACAAATGTCATTTTTGGGTGAACTATTCCTTTAAGCCATGGCCTATATTGCTCATGAGCAGATAAATTGTTGCCTTCCATAAGTTAGGAAGAAGGCCTCACCCAAAACCTCACCCATCAGGAAGCCTGATTTCTAACAGTCAAGCTGAAACTTGTGGTAGTTCTCTGCCCCAGAACTGCAGATCTTTACTGATTGAAGGTTATGGAGGCCTTCACATGGTGCCAATGCTGATTTTGGGTTATTTTCCTCCTTTGAGACACTGTACAATAAGATCATACAGAAAGGATGGGAGCGGATCCAAGATCAGAAACTGTACCCTCAGGCACTTTGTCTGTTAGTGCCCTGATGTGCATTCGGTAGCATTAGCCAGTCATCATTCGTAGCCTCCTCCTCTGCTCTCAGTGCTGAGACAGGCTGCTTTAGCTGCTTGCTCATGCAAACAGCGTTTAGACACCCTCACTAAAAGTGGTTTTGCTCACTGACTCCGGGTGGCTCTGTTCAAGTGTGTTGTGCTCAGCACAAACAGACCAAAGTGAGTAATGAAGGTGGAGAAAGCTGCTGAGATTGCTGAACAATTTCTCCAACGTTCATTGTTATGTTTTGAAGGGAAGGGTTTAATAAGCTATGCACTTCCACATTCACTTTCGTCTCGTTACTGACGACATGTGCGCTCTTGCAGATGGCGTACCAATTGAAATTGTCACAGCTGTTTTGTTTTTCCTGTCAAGATGCCCAAATACATGAGCATATTTGTCCACCGTGGACAGTTTGTGCAGGTCTTGCACTCGTCCTTTGCTCACTAGCAGCAACTCATTGACAGAAATATGAACTATACAATTTTCATTGACGTTTGAAAGCAGGCTCTGCATCCCAATTCACAGACTTCAAATCAAGATATTTATTCTTATTAAGACAAAGATTGTTTATAGAGATGCACTGATCGATCGGCCAGGGATCGGAATCGGACGATTTTCCTCATGATCGGCCCGGATCGGTGATCGGCTGGTCAGTCTCACTTCTTTCCGATTTCGAGCCGATCCGTTTTGTTACCAGCAGCACAGGCAATAACTAGGGGTGCTCCGATCAGGATTTTTGAGACCGATCATAGAAAGCAGTATCTGCCGATACCGATACCGATCTTTTTAAAGCCTTCTTTTTATCATTTATAACTATTTATAGTAATACTCCAATCAGGATTTTTAGACATTTATTCTGGGCCTGAATTTCATTTTTGAAAATGGGGTGAATTCCCCTCTAAGGTGACTCTTGTGAGAGGGTAAGCAGCTTTCACACAGGAGTCCGCTACTGATCCGTGGCTGTTTACCACAAACACAACATTTATCCATTATTTTGATTTCAAATCCAAACATTGTCACTGAAAATGCTTTTTACTTTTGCATTTACTTCTAGATTTATATATTAAGTTGCTCAAGCAAGTGGCAACAAACAATGCGCTGGTACTTTACCCTGTGCAGAAACTATCTCTGCACTGCTGCAGATGCACCGCTCCTGACCGCAACCGTGTGCAGTGAACGCTTTAATCCGTTAACATGAGTATCAACTTTAGTGACGATGTGACACTACCTCGACTGTGCAAGTGACAATTCCTGTGTCATCTGTGCAGCGTGCAGCTCGCTTATAGACAGACGCGATGTGCGGTGATTTGAATCCATTTGCGTATTTTGAGAGAGAAAGAGAGAGCATGCGCTGTGATTCACTCACGCTGTTTGTGAAATTACGTCTCACACAAGGTTTTCATATTCCTGCTGTTGTCTGTCATGTTAATCAAAGAAGAAAAGACAAAGAAAATAATTTTCTGCTCTTGACTGAATACGTTTTATAACTTTAATGGTAAGCATTAATCTGTATTTAATTTTTACAATGAAGACTACAGAAATTAAAGTAATCAAATGTAAAATAACGCTGGATGTGTTATTTTCCATTTGATTACTTTAATTTCTGTAGTATTTCTTACCTGAATAAAAACTTACTTAACCTGAAAAACTTAGTTTCATAGCTCTCTTTATTCTATTGCATTTATTTGTGCTGTTGTTTGCAATTTTTTTTTATTTGTTCTTATTTTATTACTGTCTTTTTACTTGTGTTTTTTATGAAAATAAAACTTTGCATTGAAGAAAAGTAGATTTTTGTTTGTATATGCTGTCAATTATAGTTCTTAGAAATAAAATCGGAATCGTCAAAAATCGGTATCGGCAGATCACACTAACAAAAATTCGGAAATCGGAATCGGCCAAGAAAATTGCAATCGGTGCATTTCTAATTGTTTATATACACTACCATTCAAAAGTAAAACGTAAAATGTTTAAGTCTCTTATGTTCACCAAAGCTGCATTTATTTGATCAAAAATTATTTTTTCTGTTTTAATTAATAAAAAAAAAAAATATGAAGATGTAATATTTCTGTGATGGTAAAGCTGAATTTTCAGCATCATTACTTCAGTCTTCATTGTGACATGATCCTTCAGAAATCATTCTAATAGGCTGATTTGCTGCTCAAGAAACATTTCTTACTATTATCAATGTTGAAAAGAGTTCCACTGCTTCATATTTTTCTGGAAACCTTGATATATTTTTATTTAGGATTCTTTAATGAATAAATAGTAAAGAAAAAATAGGCTTTTGTTCTGTCATGTACTTATTATGCAATAAAAAAGAATACTGCATGGCCAAGACTATGTGGACACCTGCTCCTAATTAAAAGGTTTGGCGATTTCAGCTGCACACTGTCTTTAAGTGCTCTTGGGAAACTCTTATATCTGAGCTGTGATGTCACACAATCTAAAGTAGACAAAACAAATAAACCTTTTTCTGTTTCTGTTTCATTGGATTGTACTGCTCGTGTTTTATCAGTGAGACCGGAGATTTGAAATATACTAATGCTAATCTTGCATATTATTTAGGATCGATAGTATGCAGCAAGAGGGTGGTTGGGAGGTTGATTATCATGGTTTATCTAGGATCAAAGCAGACTATTAATTATCTGTTGTGTCTATAAACTGTTACTGATTCGGTCTGTTCTGCAGAGCCTTCAGGAAGTCCTGCGAAGGATAATTTCAGGATGAACCGCTACAAGAACAAAGCACTCAACCTGGAGGAGATGCGTCGGAGAAGGGAGGAGGAAGGCATTCAGCTGAGGAAACAGAAACGAGAGCAACAGGTGACTGTCCACTTTTCTTTCTTTTCATGTTCCCTACTACATGTACTGTCTTTTAAAGGTAACCTGAAATTATTTGGAATAGAAATATTTTGTAGTATTATCCCATACTACACCTTTTCTTATTGACTATCCTGTTGCAGTTTATATTGCATTCTGTTAAAGAAGTGAAATGGTCTGTGAATGCTGTTTCATGTGAACTTTAACTGTCACATCAATTGATGCACTTTGCACCATTGATTCTCTCTATTTCTCTTGGCAGCTGTTTAAGAGGAGAAATGTGGAGCTGCTTGGTGAAGAAGGGGGGATGTTTGACAGTCCACTTATGGATTCCTACGTCTCGTCCACCACAGCCCCAGTGAGTTCAAATCCAAATGCATAGTTTGCCTTCTCCCATTATGTCACTTACAGGCAGAGGTAACACTGGGACTGTTGTTAGTAGTGCATTATGACCCCTTAATTCAATAAGCACTATTGATTTGGACTTCTCAGAGGTGCAAACCTGGGCCGAAAACAAATTACGGTCATTGATCTAGACCAAATTTGCCCTATGTGTTTTTTAGGATGGAGTAATTACAAGAGACATGGTTGAAATGCTCTTCTCAGAAGATCCTGAACTACAACTGGTCATGACACAGAGGTTCAGAAAACTACTTTCCAAAGGTATCTGACACAAACACATGTCTGGAGTTGCCTAGACGCGTGGATGAGTTTTAATAAATCAATCTTTGTGTTGTTCAGAACCAAACCCTCCTATTGACGAGGTGATAAGCACACCGGGAGTTGTGAGTAGATTTGTTGAGTTCCTTCAGAAAAGTACAAATTGCACATTACAGGTGAGATGTGATGAAAGCTAAACTACTTTCTCCATTTAAAGTTCTAAAGTCAGATCCTTGAAAGTGTGTGCTTTTTTCCCTTAGTTTGAGGCCGCTTGGGCACTGACCAACATCGCGTCTGGAACATCTCAGCAGACAAAGTTTGTGATCGAGGCCGGTGCCGTACCTGTCTTTATCGAGCTTCTTAACTCAGAGTTTGAAGACGTGCAGGAGCAGGTACAAGTTATAAAGCTGCAAGGGAGAAGTCACCTTGTTTTGTTTGTGCTAAACGAGTATAAATCCCATGTGGGTATGTTAATGAATCTTCATGTCACAGGCTGTTTGGGCTTTGGGGAACATTGCGGGAGACAGCGCTGTGTGCAGAGATTTTGTGCTAAATTGTAATATCCTTCCTCCTCTGCTAATGTGAGTGCTTGGTTTTTCTGTTCACCTTACATGAGGCCACAGTACTGGTATTTATCTGACATAGCAGTGAATTGAACATCTTTTGCAGAAGAAACAAACATGTTTGCTGAAGATAAGTATTGATTGTTTCCTTAATGATACTTTTTTCATCCCCAGGCTGCTGACCAAATCCACTCGTCTCACAATGACCAGGAATGCTGTGTGGGCCTTGTCCAACCTCTGCAGAGGCAAAAGTCCACCCCCAGACTTTGAGAAGGTCTGTACTGCTTATCTGTCCCCTTGACAACACTCTCATTTTCCTTATGTTTAAGAAGGCATTTTACAGGATGATAGAGATGTCACAGGTACAAGCAAATTGAGTACCAAGGGGATACTAAAATAAAATAATAATAATAAATGTACAGCAATGCCAATGTATCCACTGTATATCCTAGAGGCTTAGGGTGAGCTTGTTTAACTTGAGCTATGAAGTAACCCAGAAGAGTGCCCTAGCAACCAGCCATTACACCCTGGCAACTACCCAAAACACCCTACTATGAAATGCTTAACTGACTTGAATGCAACATGGCATTGTTTTATTTATATATTTTTTATTTATTGGATATGTTATACATTGGTATCATATTTTTAAAAAACATTTAAATATAGTAATTTATATATTTTATTTATACACTGCTGTTCAAACGTTTAGGTTCAATCATGTTTTATAAAGAAACTGTTTTACTTAGCGAGGGTGCATTTAGTTGATCAAAAGATACAGTAAATACATTTATTATATATTTTTAAAAATATTATTGATAAAAAGACATTGAAGATAGCATGACAATATCCAGAGAAAATAAATTTTTATATATATTTTAACTTCCCTTAATTCGTTTATAATGTTACGGAAGATTTTTATTTCTTTTTTTTTTTTTAATAACTTATAATAACTTTCTATTCACTAAATGCTCCTGGAAAAAAATGCATTAATAAGCAGTACAACATGTATAACAACATAGTATATTAGAATGATTTCTGAAGATCGTTGTGTGTCATAAGTCTCATATGACAGTGAAGACTGGAATAATGGCTGCTGAAAATTTTGCTTTGCCATTGCAGGAATAAGTTGCATATTAAAAAGACTATGATCAAATAGATTATGTTCAAATAGAAAACAGTGGTTTTAAATTGTAATAATATTTCCCAATATTAATGTTTTTACTATATTTTTATTTGTGACCTGCTTTTTATTACAAATAAACCTTTGAAAATCATTAAAATATCTTAACAAACCCAAGCTTTGAAACAGTAGTGTACATTTAAGTAATATCTCAAATATTATGTATCAAATGAAAGAAGTGTTTACACATGACTCAGTCATGTCATTATGCAGTATTTTTTTTATTTTGTATTTTTTTTATACTTCATTCTAGACATAAATTACATTTACATATTCCACAGACTTCTTATTGATAGCTGTCTTTTGCTCTTGTAGGTGTCTCCATGCCTGCCTGTGCTGTCCCGTCTTTTATTCAGCAGTGATTCAGACCTGCTGGCTGATGCCTGTTGGGCTTTGTCCTATCTCTCCGATGGGCCCAATGAGAAGATCCAGGCAGTTATTGATTCAGGGGTCTGCAGGAGGCTGGTGGAGCTGCTCATGTGAGTCAGCTACATTGTCATTTCTAGGTCATATTGAAACTGGTTTTATGGAACATTTAAGTTCCATAGTGACATATTTCAAAGTGAAACTGAATATTCAGCAGGACATAACTAAAAATGTGGACTTGACTAAATCCACCACATTTGACTGTATACTGAAAAGGAAGGTATGACGACTACTTCTGGGAAACTCAAACATAGATGTTTTTAAAATGATTCATGCTATTCATTTTCCATACAGCAAAATCATTTTTGTGGCCAGTAGCAGTCAAGCTCGAAAAAGACCAAAACAATAAATGACTTATGTGCCATATTTCAAATCCAAATAATTACAAACTTTAAATAGGATCGGTTTTGATTTAACTTTGTTTTTAAAACTCAGATTGCAGAATATGTATCGACAGTTTTTTTTTTAATTCTTTATTTGAGCTTTACCTTATCAGTCTTTCTCAGAAAACATCCAAGGGGTCCCCAGGCTATGTTATTATTATTAATATATTAAAATAATCAAACATTACTCTGATTTAAAGTGCTAAACAAAACAACAGATAAAATCAAGATTATACTGAATTTCATTTAGCTTAAAATTAATTATTGTTTTTATTGAAAAAGTATTCTTCAAACTGCTGGAAACACAAAATGAATCATGGTTCGTTAATTTTATGTCAGTCCTCTCAGTTTTTGTTAATAAATCTGAAAATGGCAGCAATACAGAACATATCTATAACCTTTAGTCAGGTTAAATGCCATATTTAATTTAAAATGGATGAAAACGAGCCTGTGAGGGATAGACTTGCAGTCTTTACAATGGCATGCACTGTATAAAATTGTGCATTTTCACAACTTTCAAAACTGAGTTTTTGTCTGCTTAAAGGTTTTTCAGAAATGTGTCAGCTGAACAGTCGCTATGTTGTTAAACAGTGCAATCTATTAAATGCTCTGTACTTCTGTCACTCACAGTCTCATATTCATTCCTGTCAAAAGTTAAATATGGCTCTACCCTGACTGAGGATCTATATCAGGGGGCCTTTCAAATATTGTGTTGGACAACAGGGGGCCTTTTGAATCATAAAGGTTGAGAACTACTGGTCTTAATAGATGACCAGCTTCCTCTTTTCTTGCAGGCACACCGACTACAAGGTGGCCTCTCCTGCTCTGAGGGCTGTTGGAAACATTGTTACAGGAGATGACATTCAGACACAGGTGTGTTTGTGTGTGAGCAGATGTGTTTATTCGTCTTCATGCATGATTATCTCTGGTTTCGAACAGGAGATGGATGGTCTCCTTATACTTCTGTTCTCTCTGCCCTAGGTGGTGTTGAACTGCTCAGCTCTCCCCTGCCTCCTGCACCTGCTCAGTAGCGCCAAGGAATCCATCAGGAAGGAGGCCTGCTGGACCATCTCCAACATCACAGCGGGAAACAGAGCGCAGATTCAGGTACACCATGACCCACACTCCACATCTGCTACCCAGAGGCACACTCGCAGGGCTCAGCTTGTTTATCATGTGCAGCAGGGTTACACGGCTGCGGCCTCAAAGGAGTGAACTTGTTTGTAGTGTCTACTTAGGATTTATTTTTGGATTTAAGGATGTCTTTAATCCTCTGTTCTTTTTCTCACCTGTCATCAACATCTTCTGCAGGCCGTAATAGATGCAAACATCTTCCCAGTCTTGATAGATATCCTACAGAAAGCCGAATTCCGCACCAGGAAGGAGGCGGCGTGGGCGATCACTAATGCCACGTCAGGTGGTACACCTGAGCAGATCAGGTGAGCTCCGAGCGTGCGCTTTCAAGCGGCTTGTTTTAAACATCTTAAGCATTCAGACTTCTGACTAAAGTGTCACAAAGACTGCCGTATCATTTGCCATCACTTTGTGAATCAGGTCATTGACACGGAGCTCATTTTTGGCGAGCAGATCCAATAGCAATATATGAACTGATATCATAGAGAAAGACCCCTGCAGACCCGTATCACTGTGTGTCAAGGTTAATTAAGCACCTAAAATTAGGTAATTTGACCTTATGACGAGGCCAGGTTAGCTCAGTCGGTAAAATGTCATGTGGTGCGACTTCCTAGAGAATTATAAAAAGTACCTTTTTCCTTGGAAAAATATATTTTAAAAAAGTGTGTAAGGAAAATATGTTACTTTTTACTTGATGGTTATACCACATGACATTTTAGAGTAATTCAGTTTAAATATTTGATAAATGGTATAAACATTTTTCAAAACTGAATGAAAAATCTAAGAATGAGAATACTTTTAAAGTAGATGTTTCCTTTTTATTTATTTACCCTCTTATTTGTCATAGACCTAATTGTAAGCCTACATTTGGCTTTGCATTCATATTTACTAAGGATGCACTGGTCATATTTTTTTTTATGGCTAATCCTGATTTCCTATTAATTTTATTTATTTATTTTTAATTAGTGAATGGGCTGATACCAATTGCTAAGCAAGAGACAACAAAGAACAAAAGAGTACATGAACAATATTTATTGCTCTATTACATGCCAAATTGGCCTTAAATAAAAATATCTGAAGCCATTTGAAATTAGAAGCAAACATTGCATTTTAACCATGATCCAAACAAAGATGCTACATGCATGTAGCATAAGCAGTTGTTTTTACGAATGTGTCTGAATAGTCAGATTTTAGTGTTGTGAAATTATGCTACATAAAAGAACTGCACAAAAAAAAAAAACAGCAGATGGGCTAAATGAATCACTCTCTAACAGTAGGTGGCACTTATGGAACAAAAGCAATAGCTTTTCCTTGGTTAAAGCTGAACACAAAGCAGCTGTGCTTATAAATACAACTTTAATAGGCATTACATGCAGGTAAATGCCATCTAAAATTTTCTGGACAGTCATTTACTTTCAAAGATGCATTCATATAAACTTCCACCCCCAATTCAATATTTAGAATTTTCTTGTTCTGCCTGCTACAGTATTTTCTGTGCTGGCGTGTCTGTGCTCTTGTATTTGTGACCATCTTCAGCGTGTCCCGTCTCTCTGTTAACATCCTGTTTACAGACTTTTAGTATTTCTATTACAAACTCTGGGGAATGATTCTAATGCAGTTTATGTGCAAGTCTGGAACAGAGAATGGACAAAATAAAACCAATCAGTTGTGTGTTTGGAGCAAAAAAATGTCTGGTTCTGACTGATGGCCAGTCGACTGGTGCATCTCTAATATTTACCCTCTTTACAGCCTCTTTTTGTCTGTGTTGCTTGTTTTGACCAAGAATCATCCACAATGCGCACATAACATGCTGATTGTCAATATGTCTGTCTTTTCAAGATACATGACACCATTGGTTGCTGGAGAATAATGCTCCACGCTCATCCAGACATAATCGGGTTAGAGCTAACCTCAGAAACAAATTCTCAAGATAGTTTAAGTTTAGCATGACAGCCCATTTAAAGTGCTCCCCCAATCCTTGTCTGGCCAACTTGGGTCTTCTCAGAAGGCTATTAGAATGGCACAACTCAAGCGCTAATATTGGAGTAGTTGTCTTGATCACTAGGGAGCACTTGCGATGTGTTTATCCAGATTGAATTGCAGTGTGGATTTCATGCCGTCTAGTGAGATCACACTGTCTGGAAGTTGCAGTGTGCTTAAAGTGTTTATTACTATGCACACTTACAGCAAATGGCTTCAGTTTTTATCAGACATACACTTATGGCATTTTGCAGCAGCCCAAACAGTGCTTCATTAAATATATAAGCCTATAATGTGTATTTACAGAGTGCTTCCTTTGGCATAAGTGTAGCAACAACTTACCATCTAAGATCTCATCTAATCGTATTTATAATGTGCGAGACATGTTTTTAACTGGAGTGTTACATAAGTGTGGTGTTGTGACTTGATGTTATTATTGATGTTATGAGTATGCTTTACTTTTGGATTGTGCTCAAGGAATTTTACTTGATCCTTTATTTATGATGTTTCTTAGTCTACTTTTAGTCCTATCCTTTCACGTTTCACATTGCTTAAACGTTTTCTAGAATCAGTGAACAAGAAAGGAAACTAGGACCAGTTGCTAGCCTAATGTTGATGCTCACTTGCTGACCTTGGGATGTTTGGCTCGTGCTCATGGTATCATTGTGTGTCTAAATCTGAAATGCAGATTATATTACAAACAGTGATTTGATGGGGTATGGCTTGCCAAATATAAATTCCCTCATCTTCAGTTATTTGTATTGTGGGAAATTAAATTATGATGTTTATTTTCGGAGAAATTAAGTACTGAAGGACAACTATTGTCCCAGTCGTACTGGTGCGTGCCTAGTTTTCCAAATTGATTCATTCCACGAATTACACAAAGCAGCAGAAGGGGAAATACATGATTTTCTGTGCCAAAAATAAAGCAGCCATTGGACTTAATTTTTGAGGGCAGTATTCCAAGCACAATGTTATTTGGATTGTGTTTTTTCCTATTGAATTGAGACAGAACATGGTGGCACACATGTTGCTGCTTATTGATTTCCATCATGTTTTTGTTTTTTTTCTGTAGGTATCTGGTCAATTTGGGCTGCATTAAACCTCTCTGTGATCTGTTGACTGTGATGGACTCCAAGATCGTTCTGGTGGCTCTGAGTGGTCTGGAGAACATTCTCAGACTGGGCGAGCAGGAGGCCAAACAGAACGGCAGTGGCCACAACCCTTACTGCAGTCTGATAGAGGAAGCCTATGGTAACATTATATTCATCAAACCATCAATTTTATGCTACAATTGCATATGTATTTTCAGAGACGTCATATCAAAATATGATGAGAAATGGCAAAAAAAAAATCAGCCTGTTGTAGGGCTGCACGATTAATCGAATGCGATTGTCATGCGCATTTTGTTAGTAAAGCCGGTTCTGTAATCAGCAGTAAATCATCATCACGTGTTTTCAGGTGGAGCAGCATTTACTACACAGAGCCGTAGTTCACTGACAAGTTATGCAAAAAAATCGCATTCGATTATGAAATCGCAGTGATAGTAAGGCATTGCATTATAAATATACTTTATTTTAATGAAAATTATAATAATAATAGCTCAGATAAACCATATATTGTCATAATCGTGTGTTTATTAGTCACGTTGAATCAATAAAAGCAAAATTCTGTTTATCCAGCTACCGCTATGGGCATTTCCTGGGTTTCTTCTGCAGGCGTATTTGGAGTTTCCTCGCAAGAGCGCCCTCTGGCCTTTAGATGGAGATTTACTGCTGATCACAGAACCGTGCTTCACTGAAAGATACGCATGACAATCGCAGCTTCTGTCGAATCGCGATTTCGATTCCATTTCGATTTATCGTGCAGCCCTAGCCTGTTGTAGGGTTAATTTTGCTATATGGGTCAGTTAAGTTTAGGGTTGGATTTTGGGGGGGGGGTGGGGGTTGAAAATTTCTTATGCTCATTTTGACTGCATTTATTTAATCAGTAATAGAGAAAAAAATGTAATATTGTGAAATAATATTAGTTTAAAATAAACATTTTCTATACTAATATATTTTTAAATTGCTGAATTTTCTTCAGACGTCAGTGTCACATGATCCTTCAGAAAAGATTCGAATATGTTGATTTGCTGCTGAATAATCATTTATTACACAGCCCCTGCATCTTGAAAAAAGAAAGGTGCTGATGTGCTTAATATTGCAGAATTTCAAGATGCTGAGTTCAAAATTAATAAAACTTTGCATCACAGTTTTTCTTCACAAAATAAATGAATTCACTGAAATTGTATGTATGTTTAGGTAGTCAAATGTCAGAACTTTATAAACAAAAGTTTGTAAATGTACAAGCTTTTTATTTTATTTTTTTCACAAAATCTGTAATTTTCTGTCACTATTCGTCTTTGTGGCAGCTTTTCAGATGGTTTTATGCCCAAACTCTGTCCTGGAGGGCCGATGTCCTGCAGAGTTTAGCTCCAACTTGCCTCAACACACCTGCCTGGAAGTTTCTAGCATGCCTAGCAAGAGCATGATTAGCTGGTTCAGGTGTGTCTAATTGGGGTTGGAGCTAAACTCTGCAGGACACCGGCCCTCCAGGACCGAGTTTGAGCACCCCTGGTTTAAGGGATAAGGCAAGACTTCTTCACCTTACAAATTATTATTCAAAGCCAAAATGCTAAGAAATGCACGTATTTTGTAGAAATTGTAACATGCTTAAGCCAAACGGGCACTATTTTTTAAATTAGCACCCCAAAATTAAGAAACATTGTATTTTATTCAGCAAATATGATGCTGGGGGGTGTGATAAAAAAACAAAAACAACATTAATGTTTTTTTCCGGATACTTTGATAAATAGTACGTTCGAAAGAACAGCATTTATTTGAAATAGATTTTCACTAGCACTTTTGATCAATTTAGTGTAAATAATTTTTCTTTTTTTGTGTGTGTGTGTGTGTGTAAACTCTCACTCTCTTTCTCTCTCTGTCAGGGTTGGACAAAATCGAGTTCCTACAGAGTCATGAAAATCAGGAGATCTACCAGAAAGCCTTTGACCTCATCGAGCACTACTTTGGAGTAGAGGAAGAGGATGCCAGTCTGGCGCCACAGGTGGATGAGAACCAGCAGCAGTTTCTTTTCCCGCAGCAGGAGGCCCCCATGGAGGGCTTCCAGCTATAACCAGCCGCCCCTTACCTTTACACCCATCCCTGCACCCAATGCGGCTACTAAACCATATGCCGGAAACACTCAACCACTGAAATCTGAGTGAACCAAATTTCGACCCATGACCCAGACTGATTCATTTAGACACTGAGGTGTGTCTCACACAAGAGAGCTGGATTTTAGTTTCTTTCATTTCCCCCCCTCGGTGATGCAGCTATATAATCATCCCCTCAGGTAGAAATCGTGGCGCTGTGTCCTTGCTACAATTCTCCCCTTTCACTGAAAGATGAGAGAATTGTTTTCTCATTTATTTAAAATCAGAAAATCCAAACCCTTCATCTTTTGATCCTGGTTTTTTTCATCGTTTTGCATTTCTAGAATTCCTTTTTTTGTTCATTATTCATATCCTGGTAATTAAACAAGCCTGGTTGTGTTTGATATGGCTGTGCTTTATAAACGAAACTCTACCGTAATATCTGCAGATGCGTTTCATGAGGATTTAAGCACTCTTCAAAGCCTTTGTGAAGCCGTTTCATTTCTCTTAGTATTAGTATTCATCATTTCAGACCATGCTGGGTGTGGAGTTTATGTAGAGTCTATTTGACGTGGTGGTGTTGAAATAATCCAGGTATTTTAGTAAAAGAGTATCCTAACATAAGTCATTACTGTTAAAAGACAATGACTGGAAAAGTGGGGCCCAAAGAGCCCATTTAGTAAAGATAATGCCCAGTTTTCTTTTCTTTTTTTTCTTTTGTTTTAAACCAGTCAGAGGTGAAATATCTAGTTGTAGGATGTTCGTGGTGTGCAGTGTTATGAATTACTCTTCTTTTGATCAAAAGGCTTTAACTTTGAAATGTGATCTGGGGGAAATACACACACATCTGAGGGCCGGATTGATGCATAATAATTAATAATTAAATATTCACAATAAACAATAATTCTGCTCTGTTTTTAGTCATTAATTGGTGCATAGTAATTCTGGGTGGTTCGAGGTGTTTGTTCAGCGCAGCCCTCAGTATGTGCATGTTGGGGTTTTGCATGGTGTTCAACGATCATTTTGTATCCCTTGCCAGATCTTCATTCAACAATTAGCTTGCACTCATTAGATGGAGTAGTTCCGGTTTCTGTAGTTTTGCAGGTGCTTTAGGTATGGCAAGGAATACTTATTTAAATGAAATATATGGGAAAAAATATATATATATATATATATATATATAGATATTATGTTCTATTTGCACACACCTTGCACACATGCATACAAGACCAGCATACACTTCATAAACATGTACACAAACAGATTAGCATAAAACCGAGGGGAAATGACTTCCATAATCTCCAAAAATCTTTTCTTTCTTTTTTCTCCGTATGCAAGTACGTTCACGTTGATTTGTTCCACCGTTTGGCACTTTTTGAGTTGACGCACTAAAAGTTAAACACACCCGGGTTTGATGTTGGGCTGTCTTGGATTGAATGAAAAGTTTGAATATTAACCTCTCGCCCCGTACGAAACTTACTGTGGTTTACTTTAAAAACTGTGAGTAAACTTTTCATTTCATTATGGAAGCATTTTTCCTCTACCTCCATAGTACACTGACCGAAGGGTGCTTCTCTGAGTGAATGCTAGGGGTCATTTGATTTAGGACGGGCCTGTATCTATGAAAACATAGAGAGAGACGTTGACTGACGGATGATTTGTGAAAAGAAGTGACGCTTGTATCAGCATCCTGTGTTCAGTTGCCTAGTATCTAGAAGCCTTGTCCTTCTATAAATGTCAATCTGATGCGATTTCCTGATCAGAAGTGATAACCGAAAGGAGGTTTCCATAGTAATTCTGGTTCAAGAACCTTTTTGAAAGCGAGACTCGAATTGAACTTTTTGAAAATACCTCTCCACGATCTGATGTTCTTTGACAACAGTATCAACTTTAAATCAGTTCAAATCCTAGTTCTGCGTGATATTAGATGACATTTGCTGCATTTACAGGAAGTCCATCTCGGAATGAGGATGCTGCAGTCATCCAGATTTCCATACACATCAGAGAAATGGGAAAATAGACTGAAATGATTGGGGGAAGGGAAGCAAACTATGCTCATTAAAATACATCTAATGGTCTACAAGACCACGGGTGTGTTGATCAAAAAACGCAAAGAAATGATCTCTTAATGGAAATGCACTCCTATTCACAAAAGTGCCAATCAGACCAACAAAGACAAGAGGCTGATGCGTATCAATCTGTCTTTGATTTTTTTTTTTCCTTTTTTATTTACTTGAATGTGCACGTATGTTGTGCAAATATTGCTGCTCTATTTTCTTATCTTACAAATTAGAGGTTACATTGTCTGCCACAGTTTCAGTAGAGATGTGATGGTCTGCTATTTGTACACCAAATTGGTAAACTCAAAGGTATAAAGAAAAAAAAAAGCCTAATTTATTGTGCTGGATTAATACTTTTATCCAAGGCCAATGCAATGTTGGAATACTGCCTCAGTGTGTACTGTTTGCTTAGCTTGTGTTCCTTTTGAACTTTGTTCTGTTGGCATAGAGGAAGTGAGGAAAATTGCTAACAATTGAAGGAGAAACTCTGTAAATTATTTTCTTGCCCTCGTCGAGTATTTTTTTGTGTGTTGTTTATGAGCGCACTAGCTGACCATGTAGACCCAACTTTGTTGTTTCAAGTCTAACTTCCCTGTGTAACTAACCGTAGCACAATTACAGCAAATCCAAATCCGTTCAGGCCTCTTTCACAAATGGTTTGTTCTCATTTAAGGACATTCGCTTTAAGAAGCCAAAAGATTATTTTTTAAATAACAAAACAAAACTGGGTGTCATATGATCCGTGTATCTCTGTGAACTACAATTAAACCAGACATTTAACGGTTATATTGTTATATTGGCACAGTTTAAAGTTGCAGTCCTTGCACTGCTCTTTACTCCTTAAAATAACTTCTGAGAAGTGCAGAAAACAATAAAATATTTACAAAAGGCCACAAATAAGTGAAATTGGGTCTTTATGGTCTTCCGTCCTAGATCTTGTAGATGTTGACATTTGGAGACTTTTTGTCTCTTTCAAACCTGGAGCCGATGCATATGGCTGTGTCTAGTAATTCGGACTCGCCTGTGTTTACAATGCTACATGTTTAAGTACTTTTCATACTCAATATTAAAACTTGCCCAGGTGGATATTGTATCCTGGTTTGGTAATTTCTTTCCTTTTAAATGCATTTATATTTGAATCTTTTTTTCTTTTTTTTCCTCCTCTGCCTACAATTGCCCAAACTGTGACTGAATTGACTTTACCGACGATATGAATGAGTGACGGACACACAAACTGAACATGTCACACAAACATATACATGAACAATTCTGAACAAATGTTTCTGTTCTCTTTTTTTTTTTTTTTTGTCCAGATACAAATAAAAGGATAAAACACCTCCTGGTTTGTAAACGTACTTCTGTCAATATATAGGAGTGATTAATACAGATGTTTAAGTAGAAAAGGAACATGTTTTATGACATTCAAGAGTTTTCTCAAGTTGCTGTATGTAGACCAATATTGCTTTAAATTGTCTTTGCTTTTCACGAATACTTTGGAATTTCTTTGGTAAAGCATATGAAGGTGTAATGGCCTGTATGGAGTGCAGATACAAAATGGTCAAAAGTGATTAAAAAAAAGGAAATATGAAGCAGTGCTTTTACATATATTTGAAAGCCTTTGTCAGTTTAATCATTTTCAAGTTTAAGTTGCAGTTGTTTCAGAGTTTGTGTGCAAGTCCGTATTAATATAGTAAACAAAAGCATTTATGCTGTTCTCAAATAGTGGATGTAACGGGCTATATTAGTTCAGATGCTGAAGATGGAACCAACACCCAATTTTCTGATCTGTACCGAATGAACTTTAAGGTGACAAGATGTCATTGTTTGAATGCTATTTCGAAAAAGTTTATTACCATGTTTTAAGCTACTTTTAACTGACCCCACTGGTTTAATGATATACCATGAATATGCAAAATAAATAAACCATATTGCTAGTTTCTGATAAAACACTATTCAATGGTATGCAATGAAAAAAATATATATAGAAGAGGTTCCATAGTTGTAAATGTTATGAAAAGTTTTTCATGGTTTTATGGCATATAAAGTACTGCAGTTTTTCCAGATTGCAAAAACATATTTCCTGAAACGTATTTCTCAAAATGATAACCCCCATATCTAAACTCAAAAAGCCATCAAATACACTGAAAACCCATGTCACTATTGTGTTTTTTTTTTTCAAAATCTAAGATACCACAACAGTTCCTGAATTTAAGTTTAATGCTAACTGTATTACAATAACGCAGTCAGAAAAACTGATTTTTTGAAAATAAAAAAGTTAAATTTACTGCACACTTTAAATATTTCTCATTAGACAATATTATTGTAATATTTATTACAATATACATTTTTTTTCATATCCATTCCTGTATACACAATATTTAAAAATACACAAAAAAGAATGACTAGGCTATGGCTGACAAATTGTCACAAAAAAAATAACATCCCACAAGACTGGAGACTAAAGTCTTTTCCCACCAAACCACTGCACCGGAACTATAGACAAATCAAAAATACATATCAACATATATAACATCATCATTTTAACACCAGGCTTGGCATCCATGGAACTCATCCGCCATACAGTTCAACTTTTTATTTTCATTTTCCCCGAGTAGAAATTGAGCTTGTGTTTCAACTCGTCATTTATGAAGTTCTTTCCATTCAGGTCTTCTAGAAGAGCTAGCACCATGTTCTTTGCCCTCTGTTCTCGTTTCTTCACGTTCCTCATGTCTCGCTCCAGACTCTCCACTCTAGCCAAGGCTTCTCCGAGTCTAGCCTTTAGATCAGTGGGATCTGCAGGCAATGCATAAGAGTGGTCCTAGAAGAAAGGAAGATGACATTTTTATGTTATAATGTTTATAACACATCACTCAAAATCATAGCTTTTTGGTGCATAATTCATTCAAATACTCACTACATTAGGCAGAGGTTTAGTCTCTTGTAACTGCTGAGAACAGTCCACTGGTTTTTTTTTTTTTACCGCTTTTGACTAGGAGGTTCAACTAGTTTGCGGTGTTTCGAGCACGGATCAATTGGTTCGATTGATTCAAAGCTTCTTTTTGCCACCACTATCGCCCAAATCGGCGTTATCGAGAAATATTTTTGTTAGGAATATTAATTCAAAGCTAATATAAAAACAAAACAACGACAAATAAATAATAAAGCACTGCAATACAATAACAGTAATAAAAAATGTTACACCGGAAGTTTGCAAATGTTCGACCAATCATCTTCGATTGTTTCCCTGGCATTTCCTGTGTCAGTTGGAAGCAGCAGTGGGAAGGGTAAAGAGTGGTGACAAACATCAGAAGTGGTTTCTTGGACCAAACTAAAACACTGGTATTCATTTAAACGGTATTAGCTGACAGCACAGATGCATTTAAGGTGTTTGTTTTGTGAAACTGTAAAACGGTAGAGCGCGTCAAGTCAGTCAGCAGATGTTTAACTGAGCGTTTGGTTAGCCATGACTGCTAAACTAGTCGAGCGAGATGTTGCACAGCAACGGCTCTCAGTTATACTCCTATGTTTATCTACAGTTTTAAACCGTCAGCTAAAAGTAACACGTGTTCTTTGTTTTGGACGTCTGTCAGTTATTGACTGAAACTTACACGAAGCATTTTATGATTGACAATCGATTGAATGTCCTAAGTGTGATCTGAAGTAGGCGTTTAGTGATTAGCGTGTTATGATATTGTGTGTATATATAGTGAGTTAACCAGTCATCTTCGTTTGTTTGCCAGTCTCTCACACAACAGATTCGTTGTAAATTTGCAATTGAACTGAAACCGAAACTGTTCAAGCTAATAGATGCAATATGATGTCTTGTAGTTGTTTATCTGTGTGTTGTTGTGTCTTTTAGTATTTGTTCATAGATCAGCAATGCAGAGGAGTGAGATGGAGGATCCAGTAGCTGATAGCAGTGCAGATGATACAGAGATACAGAGCACCGCTGCATCTGAGATGACCAACAGCCCCAAAGAAGCCGTAACACAGCCGGATGGCACACCAACCAGCAATTCTCAGGCAGAGGAAGGCTGTAAGTGTGTCCTAGTGTGTCCAATTATTCACTGCCGTATTTCTTCTCACTCACCTTCCATGTTTCTTGTGTTCAGTGGCAGAGGCTGGAGCGAGTTCTGCCTCCTGTGACATGGCTGAGGAACTGAGCAGACAGCTGGAGGACATCCTCAGCACCTATTGTCTTGAGGATGGTGGTGTTGGCGGTGAGGATGCGGCGGTGACCAACGGCCAGCCTGATGGTGTGGAAGTGAACGGGCTGTCTGAGAAGGAGGGCGGCAAGCAGGAGGAGGCCAAACTGAACGGCAATGGATGCACTGAGAAGGACCAGAAAAAGCTGCAGGACAAGAAGAAAGTGAAGGGCCTGGGTGAGTCAATGTGTTTGCCTGAACGTGCAGCAACACCTACCTTTGGCTCACTCTTAATGCTCTTTACATTTTCTGGCACAGTTAAACAGTGACAAGACAATGATAATGTTATGAAAGATTTCTATTTCAAATGATTGCTGTTCTTTGAACTTTCTTTTCATCAAAGAATCCTGAAAAATATATATCATTTTTTCCACAAAAACAGTTTTCAACATTGACAATAAGAAATGTTTCATGAGCAACAAATCGTCATATTAGTATGATTTCTGAGGGATCATGAGACACTGATGACTGGAGTAATGATGCTGAAAATTCCGCTTTACATTACAGGAAGAAGTTACATTTTACAATATATTAAAATAGACAACAGTTATTTTCAATCAACAGTTAAATTCTACTGATATTTTAGAATTTTGCCGTTTTTACTGTTACTTTTAGATCAAATAAATTTAGTCACAAAATTGTTTCAAAATTGTGTGTATGAAACCCAGTCATTCCTATAGGAATTCAGGCGATCGGGAGTTTCATGTAAGGGTGAAACACGTCCCCAAGCAAGGTTGCTCATTTTTAAGTTGGCCGCATAAATTCTCTTCATTGAGCAAAAAAAAAAACCTGCTTGGTTTTAACGTGACTTCTGTGTGAGCGGTGCTTCTTGCATCTCTACGCTATTGAGAAGAGATGATTTTTGCTCGAATTTTGTTTAAATTAGCAAATTAAATGTAAACTGTCAGTTTTTTTATTTGAGCGTTGATTATAATATCTAAAAATAATAGCAATTGAATTTGGGCTTTCTTGTCAGTTAAACATTCATATTATAGTCGTGTACTATATAATTTGCGTAATTTAGATTTTTTTTTTTTTTCTGACAATTGCCTGAAATATTCCTGGTCATGATCTAAATCAAATTTAATCGAGGGCTTATGATTTCAGAATCAAATCAAAAAGGTGAAATCTGTGTCAATAACCAACCCTATTCTTAAACTAAAATCTGTTTTTTGTTGTGTGTTTTAGGCAAGGAGATCACCCTTCTTATGCAGACTCTCAACACATTGAGCACTCCAGAGGAGAAGCTGGGTGGCCTCTGTAAGAAGTATGCTGAGCTGGTAAGACATGATGATATCAAAAGATGTCAACATCTCAGGTAGGGATGTCAACGATTAATCGATGATCGATTAATTGTCGATAAGTTGACCAACCGGCAAACCAGAACAAAACCGTGTGAATGTAGGCTATATGGGCTCGAACGGCATCCAAAAGCATTGTGTGTACACCAACTAAAACAAGCATAATTTGTAACATAATTTGTTTGCAGATGAAACTTGCTTTTATATTTTATAGAATGCAGTGACATATTTAAGTATGATTTGTGTTGTTTTGGAGCCACTGTACCTAAGAGAGTTGTTTTCTCTCTCAGCATATTGACAAGGTGTTCAAGCAGAAAGATCTGCAGCAACAGCTGGTAGATGCGAAGCTTCATCAGGCACAGGCACTGCTCAAGAACTCAGGGGATAGGCATCAGAAGGAGAAAGACTTTGTGAGTTTCTATATCCTTAAAACTGTATTGAGACTTGCACTATATATCCACCGGTGTGGTTATACCCTCTGGGCAAAAGCTTCCAGTCAATAATTAAGATTTATATGGTTTGTCATTTCTTTCTTTTTCAGCTCCTGAAAGAGGCAGCTGAGTCGCAGAGGATGTATGAGCTTATGAAACAGCAGGAAGTCCAGCTGAAACAGCAGGTGAGGAAAATAGGATAGATCATGCACCTAAAAGACAGCTCCAGTTATTAGTTTTTTTTTAACAACCTTTGTTAAATAATTAACAACCTTTGTGAGCAAATTAGACATCTTCCAAAAACATTAAAGGGATAGTGCACCCAAAAATGAAATTTGTCATTAATTACTCACCCTCATGTCATTCCAAACCCGTAAGACCTTTTTTTTTTTTAATCAGCTCTGAAAGCGGGGGGTTTTTTTGGCATCCTGTCATGCCGGGCTGCATAGATGCATTTTGCAGCATTAAGGTTAACGATTAATCGATTAATTGATCGTTAATTTAAACGACGATCGATCATGGAAATGATCGAAAATTGACATCCCTAATCTCAGGTCATGTGTTGTATAAAGCGAAAATATCACTCCTAAAGAGAGAAGATGGGAAAAATAAATGCTACCTTTTTGGGTGTAAAAAACCTTCACTAACATTATAAATGGAGCTGAGGGATAAAAATAAAACAATGAAAAGAGTTGCTGTTGTGTCCTTATGAGCTGATTTAGCATTTCAGCTGACTGGGCTTGAGCTTGTTTACATGAATACAGTACTAGGAAATGCGTGGGTTTTCTCAGCGCACATTTCCACATTAATTCAGTGATACATTTCTAAAGATGTTTCACATCTTCATGCTATAAACCACTATAATTCCCTGAGATGCACTGAAATATTGGCCTGTAATCTGAATCGGCTGATAAAAGCAAGTCCATTATTTGCAAAGAGCTTCGTTACTTGTGATAGGAAACAAAGTTTCAGCTCTCAAATTCTCTCTCTCTCTCCATTTTATCACAAAATTCAAACAATACACGCCATTTTGATGCCCTTTAATAGTAATTTTTATGATTAAAATAATATAGTAATATAACAAATGATAATAATGCACCTGTCCTGCTTTGTTTTTCTTTTAGCTAGAGGAGAACCGTAATGCTCAGAAACAGATGCGGGTTCTGCAGAAGAAGCAGACGCAGCTGATCCAGGAGAAGGACCAATTGCGAAACGAGCACAGCAAAGCCATCCTGGCACGCAGCAAGCTGGAGAGTCTCTGTCGAGAACTGCAGAGACACAACCGCACACTTAAGGTACACTAACTTGATATGAATGCAAATAACATGATATCCGTTATTTGCGCTCGGAGCGTTTCGCGTAATTCATCATGTGTGTGGTGCCTGCCTAATGCAACATTTAAATTCAGAGGTAATCGGAACAGAGATCTGCCTTGGCAGTTTTCCCTCCCTGCTGCTCAAAGTATTGTTTCATCTGCTCTAACTCCACTGTTCACATAACCAGAGACTTGTTGCCTTATATATTCCATAATGAGAGAAATGGATTGATGTTTGCTGTGCTTGGCAGGAGGATGGTGTGCAACGTGCCCGATTGGAGGAGGAGAAAAGGAAGGAAGTGACTTCACATTTCCAGGTGACTCTGAACGACATCCAAGTTCAGATGGAGCAGCACAACGAGCGTAATGCAAACCTAAGACAGGAGAACATGGAGCTGGCTGACAAACTGAAGAAGCTTATTGAGCAGTATGAGCTCAGAGAGGAGGTGAGAGATACGAAAATAAAGGATGAAGAGAGAAGGGCACTTCTGGAAGGGAGAATACATTTGTAATGCCTTTTAACGGAAGATGTTTGTAAATCTATAACAGCTGAGCTACTATTTTTTAGGCTTTAGAATTTACAGTGCTGTTCAAAATGAATACAAAATATCTGGACTATTTTCAAATGTTGGTTTCTGTTCATATTAATGTGAATAGTCAGCATTAAAGGGGTCATATGATGCGATTTCAAGTTTTCCTTTCTCTTTGGAGTGTTACAAGCTGATTGTGCATAGATAAGATCCCTGAAGTTGCAAAGACTTTTTTAATCAGATCTGAGCACTTTCTGACCCTCCATAACATAATTAAGATATTTTTGATTAAACGTTTTTTTTTGACTCTACATAGACAGCGACGGCACTACCATGTTCAAGGCCCAGAAAGGTAGTAAGGACATTGTTAAAATAGTCCATGTGACATCAGTGGTTCAACCATAATTTTATGAAGCTACGAGAATATTTTTTGTGCGCAAAGAAAACAAAAATAACGACTTTATACAATTCTTCTCTTCTTGCTCCTGCATCAGCAGCACCAGATGCATGTGCCATGGTACTGTCATGAACGTGCCAAATTCTGACACGGAACATAAGAAATTGTTGAATAAAATTTTTATTTTAATTTTCTTTGCACACAAAAAGTATTCTTGTAGCTTCGTAAAATTAAGGTTGAACCATTGATGTCATATGGACTATTTTAATGATGTCCTTACTACCTTTCTGGGCTTTGAACGTGTTAGTTCCGTTGCTGTCTATGGAGGGTCAAAAAGCTCTCAGAAATTCTTAAACATTATCTTAATTTGTGTTCGGAAGATGAATGAAGGTCTTAGCATTTGGAACGACATGAGGGTGAGTAATTAATGACAAATTTTCATTTTTGGGCCAACCCCAAACTTTGAAAAGTAGTGTATATGCACTTGTATAGCACTTGGCATGGCATTGCATAGATTTTTTGAATCCAGGATCTACCCAAAAACTCCCTTGCATTGTGATGGTGGTTTTTACAGTCAAGCGGCATTTAGAAACATGTGTTACTGTTTCATGTGTTTAACTTAAGTAGATCTGAGGCTAAATTTTTTATTTTATTTTGTCTTTTACAGCTCTCAGGAAACGACCATGTACAGATCACGATGGGAAAGTAGCAACAAAGCCTTGCTGGAAATGGCAGAGGAGGTGATTGTTGTCTTGCAAATTCTCTGTCATATTTGACAGTTAAAGCTTTGTTACACAAGCTAAACATCTTATATCTTTTCTCTCTGTAGAAAACGCTACGAGACAAAGATTCCGAAAGCCTGCAGGTGAAGGTGCAGCGTCTGGAAAAGCTCTGCCGTGCGTTACAGATAGAACGCAACGAGCTGAGTAAGAAGGTTCAGGGTGTCTCCACAGGCGTTGAGAGTAAACCAGAAACAGAGACGGGGTCACCATCAGAAGCCACAGACTCGGAGGAGGGCAGCCCTGTCCATCAGAACAGCGCAGAGACTCCACGAACCGCTTGCAGCCCTGCGTGCCACTGCGCTCCAGATCTAGAGGCCGAGACTCCCAGAGAGGTTTGCTCAGCCCAGGATTGAGTCTTGCTGCTGCTGCTGGGCGGCCAGGACACACACAATCCTTCCCGCCTCCACCAGACCCCCGACCCTCTGTCGGCAGTCAGCGTCTGTTGTTTTCCGCATCTGCGTCCACAACGGAACCAATCAAAAATACATATCAACATATATAACATCATCATTTTAACACCAGGCTTGGCATCCATGGAACTCATCCGCCATACAGTTCAACTTTTTATTTTCATTTTCCCCGAGTAGAAATTGAGCTTGTGTTTCAACTCGTCATTTATTTAGTTCTTTCCATTCAGGTCTTCTAGAAGAGCTAGCACCATGTTCTTTGCCCTCTGTTCTCGTTTCTTCACGTTCCTCATGTCTCGCTCCAGACTCTCCACTCTAGCCAAGGCTTCTCCGAGTCTAGCCTTTAGATCAGTGGGATCTGCAGGCAATGCATAAGAGTGGTCCTAGAAGAAAGGAAGATGACATTTTTATGTTATAATGTTTATAACACATCACTCAAAATCATAGCTTTTTGGTGCATAATTCATTCAAATACTCACTACATTAGGCAGAGGTTTAGTCTCTTGTAACTGCTGAGAACAGTCCACTGGCGGCCTCTCTTCAGCTTTCCTTGATGTTCTTGTTTTCCTGGGTGCCACTGGCTAAGGTTGAAGAAAAATGTATAACTGAGCTTAATGACAAGCTATCCCAATTGTATAATATAGTGGTAAACCTACTCTTTGTAGATGAGCTGGGAAACTGAAGACAGATGGTTTAGCTCCTTCTCGAATCCTGACAATCTGACCTGTCCTGTCCACATCCTGTGGCTTAAAGTGGTCACTGCACAGCACAGAGCAGTCGCTGGCGGAAAAACCTTTCCTTCTTGTAGCTATTTCCCACTGCCTCCTCAATGCTTTCTCCCTAGGAAACCTTCAAAATGTGAGAAAAGTTACATAGCCAGCTAACAATCATCAGATTCACAATATGTCAGTCACTCACCCGAAACAAGCTGCTTGTCATTAAAGTCAGTTTATAGAAAAAAGCCAATATAGATGATAAGTCTTGGGCAATGTGGTTTACAATGTAAACCACGGGGGAACCGGTGACTTGGCTGCTCCTGGGGGGTTTCATTGTGTCAGGGAAGATTGTGCCTTCAACATGATTCCTATGCTGTGTTTATAATCTTTGGTTTTTATGTGGCTTGCTTTATCCCACCCTATTCCCGAGAAAATCCCATATTTGCATTTAGAGGGGCGTGGATGTTGCTGCTGTGTCGGAATGCTCAGTGTTTGTCCACTAAATGCTTGTCTCTTTTCTGTTTGGCTGATAAAACGTAAAACGAATCTTAACGGGCAGATTGCTGAAATCGGTGAAAAATTCTTTACCGTGAAACAGCAGTGCTATTTCTTTGGGTGTTTTTATTTAATTTCTCACCTTAAGTTGTTGTATCAGGTCAAATCTGCTTGTACTTTTTCCAGCCACCCTCTTTCTTTGGTTTAAATCCCACAAATCATAGTTTGCACCAAACAAAGAATGTATGATTTGTTATTCATCTTCACTACTCAGTTTAGAATTGTAGACGTAGAGTTAAGACTAACATTGTAATTTGAGTTTAAGGTTCATGTAATCTGAACCCGGATTTTCTTTTATTCTTTTGCACAACACTTGAATTTGTCACATGTATCTTTTAACTTAAGTTTGCACCATCTTTAAACACCACTAGCTTCTTTAAGTTAATATATCCAGCATTGTAGATGCATTCCTATAACATTCCGTTAACTTCTAAGTAGGAATGTGCACTTAAATGATGTCATGACCAATGAGGGATTCTCATTCAGTGTGTGATTTCAGTTTGGACCGTTTTCATGTTCAGTCGTTTCAGATACTGATCACATGACTTCGTGTTTGTGGCTTACTAAATGTGTTTAACATATTCAAAATGTAAAAAAAAAAAAAAGCCCACTAACATCAGATTAAACGGGAAGATTCAAGGACACACTATGCAATTCTAGCTCTGTTCATGTCATCTCAGTGTTGAGCATGTGAGCAAAGCACTGACAAGCTGAGAAATGAATGTACGTTCCACACAAAGTGACTTAATTTTGTGATGTCAGTCAATTTCAGCACTCTTGAATTTTGTGTTCCCTTCAATACTTTAAGAATTTATCATTTTTGTGCCCCTTCAGTACCCTTGCTGAGTGGAGTACAAAAGTATTGAGCTTAACGTGCATGGAGTCATCTGTTGGCCATGTAAACCCTTCCATATTTCATTCCAGCCAGTCAAGGTTTCTGTGCAGGTTTAGATGTCGTTTCAAAACGTTTTTGAACTGGTATGTGTGTGTGTGAAAAGCATTTTATTGTATTTGCTGGTCATTCAAATTTGACATTCCCATTATATAAGGAGGTACCAAAGATCTTTGTTGATTTGTTTTCCCCTACACCCAGTATACATTCATTTGCGAATTAAAATCCTAAGAAAATTAAAATGTGATTTCTGTATTAATTGTTGATAGACTGATATATCAGACGTGATAACGTAAACTAATAACATTGCCTGCATGGTTGAGAAAGAACATTTTGAACTTAAGTGTCCTGTTTTCAAATATTACGTATTATTATTTAAGCAAAGTTAAGTTTATATTTTGTAAATTAAGTGTTAAATTAGTACGCATATATGAGTGTTCATTTTATTACTAATACAAATTAGTAATCTGTCCTTTCGATTTAACACCGTCCAGTGTTCGAGACACATAATAGAATAAAACAAACGTTTCATTAACTGGCCATTCTAATAAAAGTGACATGTTGGTTATGATCTAAGCAGTTGTAAAACTAGAGATATCAAAATCAAAGATATTTTTTGTTATTATTACAGACCGGGCCGTTAGAATGGTTTAATGTTCAACCGGGACCTGTTTTAGTCTGTACAGGAAGTGAAGTCCGTCTCTTCCGTTTCTAACCGGGCGCAGTTGAGCACGCGTACCGCGTACTGTTTTTTTCTACGGCAAATTTAAATATAATTTCGGTTATATTCTGTCGATACAAAACCGGAGATAATGGTAAGCCTAGATCTATGTATTTTCTGAGCTGTTAAATGAATCGGAAGTCTGCTGACCGGTGGTTTTATTAGCTAACAGATGCCAAGTATTAGATTTGGCCAAATATTAGGTCCTTTATATGATTGTGAAATTGCATTTGTGACTGAATTGTGACAATATGAGGAAGAGCGAGAACATTTATAGAAATGAATGCATACAGTCTTGTGCAACTACAGTGTCTGACATAATCGCTTGTCTTAAATGAACATTAACACACTCATGCTTTATTATTTCGCATAGAGACCCATTCTTCTCCAGGGCCACGAGAGGTCCATCACTCAGATCAAATACAACAGAGAGGGAGATCTCCTGTTCTCAGTAGCCAAGGATCCAGTAAGGGATAAGCTACAATGGGAAACATCACAGTCTTGTTTTTTTGGGGAGGAGTAGGATTATTATGTTTTACATGTATGTTGTCATTGTAGGTTGCGAATGCGTGGTACTCTGTCAATGGAGAAAGGCTCGGCACTTATAATGGACACACAGGTGCCGTCTGGTGTGTGGATGTTGACTGTATCCTTTCTAAATGATCTGCTGTACTGTTGGAGCAATGCTAGATCAGGCTCATTCATTTCTGTTTTTACTAAAAGCATTTGGCTATAGATGAATATTTCACCTGCACTGTTCTTTACTACGAGTCATTTGTTTTTGGAAAAGTTTTTCTGAACACGTTTCGAAGGGGACACTAAGAACGTATTGACGGGATCCGCTGATAACAGCTGCAGGCTCTGGGACTGTGAGACAGGTTGGCAGTTTAGTACATTATCAAATGCCTCTCTGTTTTGTTCTTTTCTTGACACACGACAGAAAGATCCAACAAATTAATTTTAATATTTTAAATAAAATGGCAATTAACTTATTTAAACATCTGTTTAAATTTTTGCCTTGTTTTTCCATAGTATTCTTTTTGCCAAATAAACAATGTTAAATAGTATTATTTTTAAAAAATTATATCTAAAATAACTACATGTAATTTAAATATTAAATATAGTTATTTTAGATATTATAAAAAAAAGTAAGCATACCATTCTTCTTCCCCTTATTATTATTTGCAAACAAAAATTTTTTTTAAAATTCTTAAGTTTTTTTTTTTTTTTTTTTTACAATCTCCAGGTGGAGAATTTTTTTTAAATAAATAGTTTTTTTAATATATATAAAATATAAACAATAATTAAAAAATTATGATAATCATTAAACTATATTCTTCATTTTCTCAATAATATTCTATAATATTATACATAACATTAATAATAGTATAATACAATAATATTATATAATATTTTAGTTTTTAATTTTCTCAATAATTCAAGCCTTTTAAAAAAAAATTTAACAATCTCCAGACATTCAAACCACCTGCATATTGTTTTTCTGGTTTCAAATATTAATATCTTAAATTTAAATCACAGAGGCTTATTATTAATTATTATTATTATTATTATGATTAAATAATAATAAACTGTAGACTCTTCTTCATTTTCTCAATAATTCATACCACCTGCATATTGTTTTTAAAATATTAATATACACTAGTCAACATTTGAAGTGGATCAAAACCTTTCATCGAAGTTATCCTGAAAGCTAAATCCAAAATGCGTTCTTTGATGAACTTTTTTGATCCACTTCAAATGTTGACTACTATAGTTCTGCATTTTCTCAATTTCACCCTTTTTTACAATTGTTTTTAAAATATTAATATTTAAATATATTAATACAATTATATATAAATATAATTTTGTTTTTTTATACAATCTCCCGACAATAAAAACCACATGCACACTAAACTTTAAGCCCTTCAAAATAATTTGTAAAAATATTTTGATTTTAGAAATAGAAATGTTCATCAAAAAAGTGGGTTTTTGTTGTCTTTATTGTATTTGTACAGTGTTGTGAGTTGAGCTTTCTTTCACAAACCACTTAGCCAAAAAATATGAATATAAATGAATAAAAACATGATTTAATATGAGTTTAAGTGCTTTGTCAACAAGCAGCATTTTACCAAATGTCAATCACGCACCTTTAGTCTTGTTGAATGAGGTTTGTGTGTGGACTTCCTCAGGAAAGCAGCTGGCTCTGCTGGAGACGAGCTCGGCGGTGAGGACGTGTGGCTTTGACTTCAGTGGGAACATCATAATGTTTTCCACAGACAAGCAGATGGGCTACCAGTGCTTTCTCAACTATTTCGACCTGCGAGACCCCCAACAAATCGGTTAGGATTTGACCACTGGTGATTAAAGCAATACTGGTGATGCTTCCTATCAAACATATCTAATATTTTGTTTCTCTCCCACAGAGGACAACCAGCCATATCTGTCTGTTCCCTGCAACGAGTCAAAGATCACCAGCGCTGTGTGGGGTCCGCT